TGAAGATCTGCTGGTGGCGATGGAGGGCTGAAATGGTGGCAGTAGTGAATCTTGACTTCAATGGCTACTGCAGCTTTCCTTCCTTCGCCGCCTCTCCTATTTACTCTCTCAAAGTCTTCTTTTCTTCCTTCAGATCCCTACTGTCCAGCCCAAGCTCTCCCTCTAGCCCTCTCGGTTTCTTTCTTTCTGCCGTCACTCTCTCTCGGCCTCTCCCTTCCAATTTTCCAGCCGTCAGTCGATGCTTTCTTTTCTCAACCCCCCAAACTCTCTCTGCTCTCTCTAGTTTTAGCCGTCAAAACCTCCTCGTCTCCTCTATAGCTCTCTCTCTTGCTTTTTTTGTTTTCTGCTAAACTTCACCCATTCTGTACCCTCTCAACCTCTCTCACTCTTATCTCTGTCCGCCGCCCCCCTCTTGCTCTCATCCTTTTCTTTTTATATGGAAGAAAAACCAACCCTAAACCCTTAACCATCCTTTCTATATTTGCAGCCAAGGGCTGCCCGAACCTTTCTTTGCAAGCTGCGAAAAAACGCAGCTTGCTGTCGCGTATTCCCTTTTTTTTTGAGATTAATTAAAACAAATTTGATAATAAAAATAAATAACAAAAATAATTTAATTAACATTGGATAAAAATAAATAAACTAGAAACAACAAAGTGCAAACTCCATTTTCTTTTCTTTTTTCTTTTCCTTTTTCATCGTTTTTCTTCTTTTCCTTTTTTTCAAAATAACTTAACAAAAATAAATAAAAATGCCAAAAGATTGAATTAAAAAAAAAGAAATAAACATATTTTGTGAATAATTTGTCTTTTTTTTCTTTTTTTCTTTTTTTCTTTTTCTTTTTTTCTTTTTCTTTCTTTTTCTTTTTGAATTAGTAGATAAAATAAATGTTCGTAAACTAATTAAAATAAGAGACACGAAACAGGAATTAACTAAAATAAACCTAAAATTGAAACAAATAAATCTCAAATTAAACTAATTAAATAAATAAAATTCAAAACCAAAATTTTGGTGTCTACAATCCCCATCCACATTCCCTGACCCTTCGCTCAATGGGGGATAGACCTTCTGGGTCCTTTCCCCCGAGTCCCGGGAAGATATGAGCACCTCGTGGTGGCCATAGACTATTTCACGAAATGGATGGAAGCAGAGCTCCTGGTCTCTATCTCGGGGAGGGCAATTCAGAAGTTCTTCTGGAGGAGCATAGTCTGTCGTTTCGGGATTTCGCATGTCTTAATATCAGACAACGGACGCCAATTCGCAGATAACCCCTTCAAGAGCTGGTGCGCCGAGCTCGGGATCAGTCAGCACTTTACATCGGTCGGCCATCCCCAGGCCAACGGCCAGGTAGAAAGTGCCAACCGAACCATCCTCCAAGGACTGAAAACAAGGCTGGAACTGGCCCAGTCTAACTGGCTAGATGAACTCCCTAGTATCCTCTGGGCTTACCGCACTACGCCTAGGACGGCCACCCACAAGACCCCGTTCTCTCTGACTTACGGAGTAGAGGCGGTGGTACCCGCGAAGATCACCCCGGACACAGAACTTTGTTGCGTCATCCAACGAGAAAGAGCTGAGGTACAACTTGGACATGCTGGAGGCTAAGCGTGAGGAAGCGGCGGTACGGATGGCTAAGTATAAAATCCAGCTCGCCCGCTATCATAACACCAGGGTGAGGACCATACAGTACCAGCCGGGGGACCTTGTCCTAAGGAAGAATTCGGTCAGCCGAGCTCATGGCTCCAACAAGCTCGACCCGAACTGGGAAGGCCCATACAAGGTCCTTGAAGCGAGCCGAGTTGGCTACTGCAAGCTCGCGAAAATAGATGGATCAGAGGTATCCCGCACTTGGCACTTCTCCAATCTGCGACTGTTTGTAGCGTAGGTTAGACCAGGGTGTTCGGTTGTCTGTTCTTTGGAATCCGAATTTCAGTTTCATCATTCAATAAAGGCTCGACTTTCAAGTTTTAATTTCATTTGTACTTGTTTGCCTTTTAAGTTTGAATCTTACACTAGCACACTTAGCGTTTCCTCACTAAATGTCCTAGTGGAGGGCTAAGGGTTAGTAATGGATGTGGGAGTGCTCGACCCCAGGAGGTCGGCACGACTGGAAAAATTTGAAGGATTCTGAAAATTCTACGCTCGACCCAGGAGGTCGGCGGGCGCCATTGCGAGGTGCGATGCTCGACCCCGAGAGGTCGGCACTGATTAAAACTTCCAAGTAAATGCTCGACCCCAAGAGGTCGGCAAGGGTTAATCGACCCCAGGAGGTCGGCACGACTGGAAAACTTTGAAGGATTCTGAAAATTCCACGCTCGACCCAGGAGGTCGGCGGGCGCCATTGCGAGGTACGATGCTCGACCCCGAGAGGTCGGCACTGATTAAAACTTCCAGGTGAATGCTCGACCCCAAGAGGTCGGCAAGGGTTAAAGCTTGGGAATCTGAGAGCGCGACGCTCGGCCACGAGAGGTCGGCATGGAGTGGACTATTCTGGGTCTGATGGGATTCAAGGTTCGACGCTCGACCCGGGAGGTTGGCACGAACACCTTCAAAGTCAGACGCTCGACCCAGGAGGTTGGAGGGAAAAATCCTTAAGGTTTGGTGTTCAGCCCCAAGAGGCTGGCACGTTGCCTTGGTAGGACGGCATGGTGCTCGACCCGGGAGGTCGGCACAGGGTTTTGACAATCTGGTTCCCTCTAATGATTTAGTTGTTAGATTAACAGGGGTATGCATTTGGTGCTCGACCCAGGAGGTCGGCGCTTGGTTTTGGTTGTTGCAGTGGGGTGTAAGAAAAAGTTGCAAGGAAATCTCCTTCGAATTTCGTATATGCATTCAAAGCCTATCTATTACAAAGCTTCCAGCCTATCTATTACAAAGCCTACCGGGCTACGAAAGAAAGACACCCTCGTGCTGGTGACCCGTCTGGAGCAGGAGTTGAAGGTACACCTTAAGCATGTTGGGAGGCGTATGGTGAAGGCTATTCAGGAACCCAGAAGCAGGGGAGCCTTTCCGTCTCAGATGGACCTTCAAGAGCATTTTCAACTGGAGCATGGTCACATCCTTATAAGGAGACGGAAAGGGTTTCTGGAGTGGTCGCTGCCCTAGGCCACCGGCTCCTTCTCGGAAGCTCTGCCGGGAGACTCGCCCTTCACCAAGGGAACCTCCGCCAGCTCGGCTCCAATGTCGGTTCGGCCCACCAGCTCCTTCAGGGCATGCCCCTTGCAGTACCCGTCGAAGAAACAGTCTACCTTCTCCTCGGCTTTAGGGTTGTACTCCTTGAAAGCAGCCAAGTCGAAGCTAGGCAGGCCGAGCGCCTTGACCCTATCCAGGGCTCGCGTGAAACCGACCTGGAGGATGGGCCCGTTGAGAAGGGCAACGTCCTGGGCGAACTGTTCGGAGGAGATGAACTCCCGAACAGCCTTCTTCCGCTCCCGGCTAACGGTGCCGGAGAGCTCAATGGCATGGTCATCCCTCAACTTGGCCACACCAGCCTTCTCCTGGTCGAGCTCCGACCTAGTGGAGGCGAGCTGGACCTGACCTGTTTCCAGCTCTTTCTCGGCCTTGCCCAATTTGGCCTTAAGGGAGTCCGCTTCCTTAAGCCTCTGCTCTGTCTCCCGATTCTTCTTCCGCAATTTCTCCAAGTCGGGAGACAGCTCGGAGAAGCGAGTCGTCAGAGCAGCACCAATGGCATTGGCCTGAGGAGGAGGGAAAACAGGTCAGCACGTTACGCCATCTAACCAAAACACAGAGGCACAACTGGCCCACGGGCTAGAAGGCTTACTTGAGCCTGGGCGGTGTAATACGCGTCCAGGAGCTCGGGAGGGTTGGTTAGCTCCATCCACCTCCTATCGCGGGGAAGGACCGAGCCCACCATCAGCTCATGAGCCACCTCGGGAAACTGGGCTCGGTTGTTGATGGAGAGCTCCCAGGACGGACAGAAACGGCGGGGGTCGTGCATAGTGGGGGCCTGGCCCGGTTTCAGGGGAGCTATGTGGCGGAAGTGCCACAAGTTCGGGGGAGGCGACTCCCGGGCATAATCCTCGGCAGAGCCGACGCCCAAGTGAACTGGCCCCCCCGATGCCAGCGCAAGGGGAGGAGGCTGTGCTGGGACCAGCGCGAGTTTCTTCCCGGGCTAGGAGGGCTCGTCCCCTCGAGCCCTCTTCTGTCCGGTCGCCTTCTTCTTGTTGTTGGCGGCCTTCTTGGAGGGGGAGGAGATGTCCTGCGCTTCCTTCTGGGGGGCTTGGCCGCCCCCCAGGGTCGAGACCGCCCCAGGGGCCTCCTTGGCAGCTTCTGACTGGGGAGTGGGGGTAGCCTCCTCAGTGGGTGCGCCTAGCAGCTGGGAAAGCTTTCTCACTGCAAAAAACATCGCTGGATCAGCCAAAACAGGACGGTACGAAGATATATATGTATGCAAATGCAATGAACTACAGGGTCAGGGTCAGTGTTACAGGCGTCGAGGTCGATAGGGGAGGCCACCACCTCGCCAAGGGACCCGGACAACGTCCCCATCAGTCCAGCCGCAGAGATCTGCTTGCTGGAGAACTTGGTGGCAAAGAGCTTTACCTTAGAGCTCAACAGCTGGATGAGGGTTTCAGGGTCCAGGTCCTCCGGGTAGGAGTCAGTCTTGACCTCCCCGACCTTCCACACGGTGGCGTCAAAATCGGTGGATTTGACAAAGAAGAAGTCCCCTTTCCAGTTCTTGATGGAAGAGGGGAATTTATGGAACAAGTCCTGGCAGCCCTTGTCCCTCCGACCTTGGTTCCCTGTCCGGCGGGAGAAGTAATACCACCCAATAAGGGTTACCTTGAGAACGAAAGCAGCTCCGAAAAGGGAGAGGGAGTAAGGAATGGAGCAGAGTTTGCAATAGATCAGAAATTCTATGATGATCCTGATTGAGTTAGGGTGGACTTGGGTGATCCTGAGCCCCCAATAGCTCAGGATCTCGGCCAGGGCCGAAGGGATCGGTAGGCGGAGCCCCCCGATCAGCTGCTCCTTGTAGACGGCTATGAAACCGGGGGGGGACGGCTAGCCCGGTCGTCGGGCCCGGCAGCCCTTGGCTCAAAGGCCGAGGGGATAGAGTAGGACCTAACCAACTCGGCCACCGCCTCCGGCGAGATGGTGACCTCCTCGTGGTCGGGGTAGCCGTAGCTAAATTCGGGATCATCCCCCTGCTTAGGGCCAGGGGTGCCCTCGGAGGAGTCCCTATCCTCTCCAGCTCCTCCCTGGGGCCCGCCAGGAGAGTCATGGGGGGACTTGGGGGAGGGGGCGGAGCCGGCCCGCCGCTCGAGGTAGGCATCGAGCTCGATCGCCTCCTCCAGCTCCCGGGCTGAAGGGGAATGGGCAGAAGGAGAACGGTCGGAAGAAGAACTCATAATGTTTATGGGGTCAAGCAGGTTCGGGTTAGAAGCAGAAGAGGAAGAAGGAGGAGGAGGAGAAGGTGAAGGCGAAGATGAGGACGAGGATGAAGAAGAAATGAAGATCCTAGTGGCTCTACGACGGGCCGGACTCTGGGACGCGGTGGAAGTAACGTCGGAATAACCCGTCATAAAAAGCAGGAGGAGGCAGAAGGGGGAAGAGACACTGTGAAATGAGGGAAAAAGGAAAAGGAATCGCAAAGGGACTTACTGATCATCGAAGCAGGGGGGATGGAAGAATCGCCGGAATCTAGGCACGGAAAACCGGAAGTTGCCGGAAAATGGAAATGCAAATGCACAAAGGGAAGAGAAAGTGGCAAATGGAGCGGATGGAAATCTGGTGACCATTATTTATAGGGGAAAAATGGGGGGAAAACGGTTGCTTGAAATCGAACCGTCCCATGTGAACGCATGAATGATGGTACGGGAACCAAAGAGACGCGACAACTGAAGGGACGTGGGCGTGGCTTTTCTACAAACCGCACTGTACCGGAAGGGCAGAGCAGTGCGCGGCACTGGCCTCCCACGTGGCAGGGGTAGATTAGGTCTGCCTGACAGCCCTACCTAATCTAGGGGCTAGTGCAGAGGCCCCATCCTGGGCCGGGACACGTGGAAGCCCAGGTGTGACCGAGTTGGGCCTCGACCTCAAGCCTCTAGCAGCCGCCCTGGGCCGCGCCACCACTAGGGCTCCAGAAGGACCTGGAGGCCATCCCGCAGAGGTCGGGGGAAATCCCCCTGAGTGCAGGATGTGGGCTATTCTGGGCAAGTCCCGAAACGTACAGAGGTCGGACTCCCTTAGCAGGTATGAAAGGTAACTCACACCAAGGAAAAAAGGTACGCTCACTATTGGCGAACGACTCTCGACTGTTTGCTCCCGTGAACTGGACTCACCGGAAAACTAACTTGACCGTCGGAGTGCCCTCGGGAACAACCCTCAGGCCTCCTTTGCTAGTTCATTCTTGTTTGTTTTGTAGGCTTGGAACCAGCTCTTCCATCAGCGCGCCGAGCCCGTCAGGTCAGCTCGGTCCGGGGAAGCTCAGCGCTTCTTCATCTAGTCTCTTTAAAAATCTTATTTCCATATGTAAAGACGTTCTTTAGGAAATATCCTAATAACCAGGTTGAGTTTAGGAACAGTGCTCATGGCACCATGAGTAGGTGGCTGTTTTCGGAATTTCATATGAATTAATATGGTTATGCTGGTAATTTCACTTCAATATTTTCCGAAGCCCCTCCACTAGCTCCAAACTCAGAGCTGACAGGTAAATTCTTGCTCCATGCTTCTTGTTTTCTCTACCCCCCTCCCAGGCACCAAAAAATAGTGAAAGCTGCAGATAACCCTACTTCCATATCTATATTCCCGTCTCAAGAATCACATAATCGCAGAATGCAAAATCTCCCAATCAATTTACCAATTCTCTGGGTCTGATTATTCATAAATTTCTCCTGACCATCGAATTCTTTAGGTAGATTAAACTAATTCTTCAATTTTCTCACTAGAGTTTAAGAGAATTTTCTGTTAATTTCTGTGATTTCTCATCTTTCTTTACAAAAAAAAGATTGATCTTAGTTTATTTTTTCCGTCTAATTTGAAATTCATTAGAAGGTAGATTTTAATTCAAATTTTTTAATCCTTAACTTAAATGGTGGTAGAAAAAGCTGTCTATTATTTATGATTGGGGATTTAGATTGGTATTTTTGATCGTTAATTTAGATTGCTGCTGAATCTAATGTGAAATTAAGGCATTATGACTTATTACCTTTCTTAATATTGCTTTTTAAGTCAACCTTGTGAGGAATTGTGAACTCAATTGGCACTTTGTAGTAGAGGAACTCTCGATTTATGTTGAGTCTTGCTAACCCGCTACAGTAAATCTTCATGCTGTTCGGTCACAGAGCTCGCTACCCGAGCCCTTTTGTGATAGGGTATGAGTTCGCGTATACAGGGCATGGACAATTGGCAGGTATTATATCCCATCATATTCTTCTTGTCTAATTTAGGATATGTTTGATAAAACTATGTTGCAATCGACTCAAAGCTCAACTCGAACTTGATCAACACTGTGCTCAAGCAGAGCATTAATATATACGAGTCAAATTGAGCAATCATTTGTTAGGTTTAATTGTTTGACGAGCCGCTCGAAAAGCTCAAGTTGATGTGAAATTATAAAAATACCTCTATATTAATTAAAATCAGGCTAATTTCGAGCTCCTTGTGAGCCAGAATGTTGAGTGAAACTCGACCTGATATCTCGAGCTGCTCGTGAACCAAAAATTGAGTCAAACTCGCGAACCAGAAACGAGTCAAACTCAAACTTTCCTTTCCTAAGTCGAGTCAAGCTCGAGCTTCATTTCTTTGGCTCGACGAGCTCGTACATTAACAAGTCCAACTCGATTCGATAAGTTCAAAATCAACTAGATTCGACACATTTGCAACCCTAGATAAAACTAAAATTTGAAATCTGAATTTATTAAGTTATTAAATTGTTAAGTAGTTACTGTAATATATTTGAATTTATATCATATTAAGTAATAAGTGAATAATTTATCACTTAGTTTTGGGGCAAGTTTTGCTTAGAAAATTCACTACCAGTTAATTAATTCAAATATTTGTTTTTGATTATCAAACGCTTCTAAACATATTAAGATCTGAACCCATCAAATTTAAGTGTTGAATTGGATTATCAAACAAGGCTTTAGTTTAGTTGAATCCTATTTTTATTTCCTAAAATTTCATTCTATAAAATGTTTTCTTGATTAGCTTCAGGTAATTAGTAGTAATATATGTGGTACCATTTCATTTTAACTTAAAAGGAAATGTACATGTACTGTATAACATTTTATTTTAGAACTATTTAATGTCTTTTATAATGTTCATCATGATAAAATGATTTCAAGATGCGGTTTAACTTTACCAGCAATGGTGACAGTGAATTATTTGTCAAAATTTATTTGTTTGCATCATCAACATATTTTTTAATCACTTTTTTTTTATCTCACATACATTTATATCCAAAAAACACTACAGTAATTTTTTCAAAAAAGTATCCTAATTAATCTACTATTTGAACCCATTGTTATTACCTAATAACATGAGGACTCGAGAGCTAAATGTAGTGAGTATTTGTTTTGCTTTAAGATTCATACACGAGGATTTGTTTTGGGATAATTGACTCAACTATTTAGCCTTTCTTTAGTTTCTTTTTAATGAATGTACAGAAGTTAAGGTTTATGGATGATCTTTACTGCAATTACTTTGCCTTTTTTTTAAAGTTTTTTCTTGTTGAAACTAAAACTTTAGATTCTGTAATTTCTTTTTTTTTTTTTAAGTTTTTCCTTATTGAAACTAAAACTTTAGATTCTGTAGATTTCATATGTGTGATTTAGGGTTTGAGATTTTGAATTTGGGAACTGAGGAATTAGTTGCATTTGCATATTTAGGTGATCACAGCCGGTGATCCCACCTTTGATGTGATTTTTATACTGCTATATTTTATTTTTTTTCAATTTTCTCCTTTTTTTTCTTTTGCCATGTCATCATATTAGCCATGTTCCATAGGGTTTTTTAAAATTTTTAATTTTAAAAATTAAATTTTTTTTGTATTTTAAAAATTATCCCTAATGCTCCCGCTTCCCTCTCCCATCCCATCCCCTGCCCCTCCATCGCTCCTCCTCTTTTTTCCGCTTCCTTTCCCTCTCCCATCTTCCCCTGACCCTCTCCGGCTCCTTGGTACCTCCCACCCCTCCCCTCCTTCCCCAACTCCCACTTTACCCTTTGCTTTATCCCTCTCCTTTCCTCCTTTCTTCTCCTCCTTTCTTTCCCTCTCTTGGAGGGGCAGGTGGGATGGGAGAGGGAAGGGGAGAGGAAAGGATCAGGAAAAGGTTAAGGGGTAGCAATGGGAAGGAGGGTTTGAAAATTTTAAAATTTTTAAAAATCATGAAGAAAAGTCTTGAAGAAAAGAGCTTCAACCATGTAATACTAGTATGGAGCCGCCCAAAATGAAAAATAGTGGACGAAGAAGAGAAATACGAGTACAAAGCTATGGGATATCCATATCACAAAGGAATTTGATGGATGGAGGAATTGGGAAGCTGATGACCTTCAAAACCATATAAAATATATAGTACTAAAAGTGTTTGACGCCATCCAAAAAAATTGAGTAAATCTTATATACACTGACAGTGTATATACTATCACAGTTGGATGCATGATATATGAGTAAAATTTAAATTTTCATTTATTTGATATATATGCTAAAACTCGCAAAATTATTAATTTCCATTTATTTGATATAATATGTCAATCCAACTTTTCAGTAAAATTAAGTGGCAGATAAGATAGGTTTTTTTTGTTTTCACGGTTGGTGACGTTGGTCAAGTGAATGCGCAGCAATACTTATTGCCATTTCTAGGTAAATTTTTAGTTTTTTTAGCAACCTTTGAATTTTCCAGATTCTTCTTCTAATTTTGTTTTTAATCCAAATTATATATCTCTTTGATGTTGTATAACTCTTACCTTTCCTTAAGTGGGTTTTCAATATACTAGCTACCTTTTTAGCTAGTTGTCTTGGGGTACGTTTGATAAAATTGAAATATGAAACTAAAATATGAATCCATTAAATTCTTGCATTATTATGTATTATATCACATTAAATTATAAGTGAATAGTCTATCACTTATTTTTTGGAACAAGTTGTCTATCGCTTATTTTTTGGAACAAGTTTTGTTTATAAAATTCAATACTACTTAATTAATTCAAATGTTCTATTTATGGTTATCAAACACATTTGTAAATCTAATATTGAATTGAATTATTAAATAGGGCGTCAGTATGCTTCAAATTGCCCTAATGCAGTCTTATTGGTATGGAGACAAAGAATTTGTCAAAAGAGAACTCAACAATTTAGATTACATTTTTAAAATTAAACTAATTTGCCACCTAAACATTACCTGCTTTAATCCAGGCAAAAGACAACAACATTTGTTTCAAATCTTTTTCAATGATGTTCTTAGATGCTAGGATGAAAAAATCACTTAAATAAATTTTATGAATTCTTTAAGTTTTCACATCGTTAGTCTATTTCTTTTATTTGTTAATAAGTTAAGTGATGTAATTTTTTTTCAACTCTCTTCTA